ATGTCCCAGCTCAGAGAAAGGCATATAGAGAATTCTCCCTTATTCAGCCTTTTTGTTCTTTTTAGGCCTCCACTGGATTGGATGAAGTCCACCTACATTGCACAGGGCAATCTGCTTTACTCAGTCTACCTATACAAATGTGAATCTCATCCAGAAACACCCTCACAGACATACCCAGAATAATGTTTAACTAAATATCTGGAAAAACCTTGTGTCCCAGTCAAATTGATACATAAGATTAACCACCACAGAAGACTTAATCCCAAGAACTGATCTTAGGAGAAAAAAAAAAAAGGAATAATTTAATTAGATGGATGGAAAGAACCAAGCAACAGAGGGAGTTGGGGGTTTCTTAAAGAAACTTTCTTGTCGATGAGTAGTAGTGTTCTATCTAATCAAATACCTAATATACATTAATGTTAATTGAAATGAACAGGAGTTTATATAAAAATGTCATTAAACCCAAAATTCATGTACAAATTAGGGTACTTGCTGCATAACAATACCATTAAATTTGATTGTATATTTAGGTACAAAACATTAACTTTTGTAAACAGTATGTTGATGACAGCTGAATTAGAAATGTTATCTTTGTAATAAATTTCCTGCTTTTGAAGCTCATTAAACTCATTCTATTAGCTTAATATGTAATATTGCTACGAATTAGTAGATTATAAAAGGTCTGACTATATCTACAGACAAAACAATACATTTCTTGGGAAAATGAATATGGCTAATGCACGTATTAAAAATATTTAGCTTTTTTAGTAAAGACATGAAAATTAAATCAACAGTAGACATTCTCTACTTAATTGACTCACCTGCTTGACTATTACCTCTCCACTCCCATTGTAAAACACAGTGATTTATTAATAGGAAGTTCACTGAATACTGTGGCACATGGAACTACATTTCTGCTCTTATCAGTTAAGCCCCATACTGACTATGAGTCAACATATTTGTTGTCAAATGATTTTATAATAGCTATACCTGTCATTATAATCACATGATTTAATTGCATGCAACTAAAGAAAAAAAGTGTTATTTCTATGAAAGCTAAGTTGAATGCTTAGAAAGTCTCACTAAAAATGAGTTAGGAAAAAAAATGATTGGTGTTGAAATAGATAGAGATGAGATAAACTGTAAGAGAAAGGGAAACAATCAGAATCTAGAAGGACAGTGCATTCAGAGCACTCTAGGTTTTTTCTCCATTTTTATGGAATAGAAAATGGAAATCATAGAAGATGACTTACAGGCATGGTTTATGCAAGAAAATCCGATCATGTACCTGAAAAAGAAAAAAACGGTAATGGTTTCTGTTCTGATAGAAGTCAAAATCAAGGCACCTAGCATCTCTAATAAAATACTTCAGCAAGTTATGTTTAGCATGTTTGAGGCAACACTTTGTTGTTTGATGTTTGTACTAATTTGCAGTATATCTGATTAATTGGCTCATCTTTGAAGATAGTTTATAATTTTCACAGCTGATAATGAGTGTGAGTGATTGCGTTGTGCTCAGCTGCTATTCACTCACCCCACGTCCCCTCAGTAGAAGAGCGCATTTACCCACCCACTAACACTGGGCTTTCCCATGCCATGTATTTTAGCCAATGGAAAGTGGATCAAAGTGGCAGTGTGTCAGCTCCCAGCTAAGGTTTTAAGAGGCTTGGTCTGTTTCCGCAAGCCCCCTTGAGCCTCTGACATTCACCATCAGAAGATCATGCCCCATACTGAAGCCTGTCCATTAGCCTGAGTCTCAAAATGAGAAACACGCGGAGGAAACCTGAATCCACCCAGCAGCCTGGAGTCCAGCGATGAGCCAGCTAAGCTGGGCCAAGTTGAGGCTGAGTTGCGTCTAACTGATGCAGAACTGGGATGGGAGAGAATTAACTAGGTGTTGTTGAAGCCGCTGAGTTTTGTGTTGTTACACAATACAATTGTAGCAAAAGCTGACTAATGTAGCTTTTAACCAATTTTGTGACTAGCCTTTCACTTTTAATTAGATAGTGCTATTTTTACACTTCTTCTAGAACATGTATTTAGTGCCCTGTTTCCCCACTGAAGGTGACCCTTGACCGCAAATAAAAACTTAAACTATTATTAGGAGCTACTTCTCTTATAAGTCCAAAATAATACTTTGAGATGTGTCTGTAAAAGTTTTCTTTTTATTAAATCATAATTGATTATACATATTTGTAGGATACAGAGTTGACTGTCAATACTTGTGTACAATATGTGATAATCAAATCAGGATTGTTATCATATTCATCATAACACAATATAATCATTCTTTGTGTCCATCAACCAGTTTCTGAGGAGTTTGCTTTAATAGACAAATGCCCAAGATAAGAAAGGCTTTTGGCCATCCACCAATGTATTAGAAATCAAGGCACCTTAGTATATTTTCAATAAATTTCAATGTTTAAGTAACTAATGTATTATATTTATGATCGCGTTTTATCTCACCTTTTTAAGTTAACCTACAAGTGCTGGTCATATTAGCATTTTATAAGAATATTATTTTTGTATTATAATGGCAGAAAATGCATACCCATTTTTAGGGAGACCATAAGAAAAAGGGTAGTCTCCAATATACTCTGACAACTGAAAAATATGCTTTTTGGAATTGGTAAGTAAAGTGTCTCGGGTCACTCCATAAGACATTTGGAAGGCAATATTCTGTCTTCATTGTATGCTATACCCTATACAAGAATAGGGCTTGGCACATATTTGTCATTCAGTAAATTTTGATGAATAAAAGACTGTATATGCATAAATGCTGGCATGGATACAACCCCCTATGACAGGTTTGACTGACATTTTCTCCATTCCTCTTGCTTGCTTTCTCATGGGAGTATAATTGTCCCTATAAATACACTGCAGGCAGAAAAAATAGTGTCAGTAGTAGTGAAGAGAGCTGAATGATTCACTGATTGACTAGTTTTTTTCATAATCTATTAGTCGAATATCTAATAATATGCATAAAATTGGAAAAGTACATGCAATTTGCCCTGGTACAATCAGAAAATTTCCAAAGATGTTGGTTCTTTTCTAGTGTGTCTGAACACGTCTACTTCTATCAGTTGAATTGTAGGCTAACAGGGATATTCATTGTAGGCTTGATTATACTAGTGAATAATTATAAACAACATAAAATGGGAATTGGTTAAATCTTTCATGAGTATATGTGCAATGAAATACAGCATGCCTTGCATTTAGTAAGAACTCGATAAATACTGTTGATTCACTGACTGCAGTCATTAAAAACAAGGATGTAAATGTATATTTATTGACAATAAAAAATTGACAACATATTAAATAAGACTAACAGGTTATCAAGCAGCATGTATAATATAATTTTATTTCTGGGTGAGAAAAAACAATGTACATATCTACATATTTATCTGTACACATCAAGAGCATTAAAGGATTTTTACCTGAATGTTAAGAGTTTTTATTTCAGGGAGTAACAATTTCTGTTACGTTTCTCTTTCAACTTACTGTTCTTCCATTGTTTTCTGATTTATTTTGCAGCGATTAAATATTATTTTATAACTATGAAAATAAAAAGACATATAATTTTGAAAAAAAATAGCTATTTATGTAAAGTATTTGGGGATGGCCTACGTGTAAAACCAAATCAACTATTAGTGGATAGCTTAAGGATAAGGAAGGTATAGTTCCCTAGTATCTGGTTTGTTATGGTATTTATGGATGAATTTACAAGTGTCGTAGATGAAAGAAAAGCTGGAAAAGTTATGTTTTTCTACCAGATCCACATTCTGTTTTGAATTCTACCTTCATACACAGTAATGCTTGATCACTTATTCTACAGAACATGGCAAAGAAAATAACTTGTACATTATTTCTTAGGCTACTAACCAGAAAATAAATAACAGAAAGAGACAGGTAAAGCTTGATTTAAAGCCAAATCAGTTTTCTATCCCCAGATCCTTGCCCCAGAAGTCTCAATGCCCGGAGAATACACAGCATGCCTGGTGTATGTGATGTACTCACAAAAAAATGTTATTTGTTGTTTATCTGAAATTCAAATTTAACTGGGCATCCTGCATTTTTATTTGCAAAATCTGGTGAATCTACTGAAAAACCATATGCCTGGCCTCATTTTTCTCATTTAATAGGAAGGAATCAAATTTGCTTGCAGGGTTATGGTGAGCATCAGAGGTAGGATCCTTTTCTTTTTCTTCCCCCGTCCTGGCCTTTACCCCAACCCTGACTCTGCCTTGGCTCATCCAGCTTTAGCACTAACAATCTGTAGTGACTTTGCTTTCCTGTACTGCAGATGTAAGGTCTAATAGGGCCATTTTCATTGTATACCCAATAGCGAATGATAAATACTGGTATTTTTGCTATGAAGAACACACAACAATTTTTTCTATTTTTTTCTCTTTCTCAATTCCCACCACCAGCAAGAAGGCACCAATGATATGGTTCTAATAATCCCCCATTATCATCTCCTGGTATGAAATAGTACTTCTCACAGCATGTAAGTTTCCTGCTGCCACAACAGTATTGCATAACCAACCATCCAAAAACATAATGACTTAAACATAAGATTTATTTAGCTCACAAATTTGCAGGCTGGTTGTTAAGGCAGAGCTTGGCTGGGCAGATATTCTGGTCTCTGCTGGTATCACACTTTTATGTCTGGCATGTGGCTGGCTGTAGGTTGAAGCAATAGGGGCCCCTGTGCTATGCATTTTTCATCTTCCAGTAGGCCATCCTGGGCATGTTTTCATGGCAGTGACGAAGATGCAAGAGCACAAGTGGAAATACTTGAGTACTTTTTTATATTAAGTCTCAGTCTGTGTATCATGTGCTAACACGATCAATGTTAGATACATGGCCAACTCAAAATCAGGAAGCATGGGCTCCTTCACAGTGGCACAGCCTCTGTTCCTGTGGCTTATGACACCTGACAGTTGGAAAGTGATGGTGGACCCTCCTGCGTCTTTCTCAGGACAGGACGTAGGGAAGGCATGGAAGCTGAAAAGAAAGCGATTTCCCTTCTTTCAAAATTACAGAATGAGTTGCAAACAGATAAACCAATTATCCCCTTGGTTGAGAAATTTTTCACTGACATATGGAATCAGTACCTAGAATACCAACAGTCTTTTGAATGAAACTGATGGAAAATCAAGGTGGTTCCACTCACTGTGGTTGTTTGTAGAATGCTACATGTATACTAGAATTCATGAAGTGATTATCCAGAGGTTGTGAAGAAAATTCCAAAAGAGGAATTCCAAAAGTGCTTTGAGCAACGGCAGCATTCTTGGAATAAGGGTGTAGCTTCCCAAGGTGACTGACTGACAGGAAGGAGGCAGCCATCATCTGGATGTATGAAAACCGTCCATCACTCGATGACTTTGATATAGTTAAAGAATCAAAAGACCAAAATTTCTTTGAGTCACAGGAATCTATCATTGTTTTATGTACTCATCTGCAGCAGTTGATGACAATTGAAGACCTAGATGAAAATCAGCTGAAAAATGAGTTTTTTAAACTTCTGCAGATTTCACTGTGGGGAAATAAGTGTGATCTATCTCTATCAGGTGGGGAAAGTAGTTCTCAGAAGATCGATGTAACAAATTCTTTGGAAAAACCTTTCATTTTAGTGAATGACATGGAACATCTCCGGGCACTGCTTAGCAGTTGCAAGAACATAAGAGAAAAAGCATCTGTTGCTAGAGTGGATATTGTTCTGGATAATTCTGGATTTGAACTTGTTACAGATTTAATATTAGCTGACTTCTTGTCCTCTAAACTGGCTACTGAGATCCATTTCCACGTTAAAACTATTCCATGGGTTGTTTCTGATCCTACTATCCATGATTTTAATTGGTTAATCTAACAAGTAAAACATTGTAATCATAGTGGATCTCAGCGTGTGGGGTCGACTGGGAAAACTATATTAAAATAGGTAGATGGCATTACCATGATCGTATATTTTGGACTTTGCCTCACGAATACTGTGCAATGTTTCGGGTTGCTCCTGACTTACAAGCTGAACTACAAAAGGCACATTTAATTTTATTTAAGGGTGATTTGAATTACAGGAAATTGACAGGTGACAGAAAATGGAAGTTTACCATTCCATTTCATCAGGCTCTGAGTGGCTTCTGTCCTGCACCTCTCTGCAGCATAAGAACATTAAAAGCTGAGGTTCAGGTTGGTCTGCAGCCTGGGCAAGGGGAGCAGCTCACGGCTTCTGAGCCCAACTGGCTGACCACCGGGAAATACGGAGTGTTTCAGTTCAGAGGTCCACTTTGACTCTGTTTAGGAGCTCTCAGCTGTGCAGAAAGATCAGACAAGCACCTCCTTATCCCCAAGAAAGCAGTGTGTGAATGCAGTCCTGTGGCTGCCCTGCATTAGCTCTCAGAAGCTGAGCCTCTCCATGCTCCCTTATATACACTCAGTGTGATTCCTCTTCTGAACATTTTTGCCCACTACATTGTTTTGAGGCTAGATAATTTGAGCTAGTTCCAGATATTTACATGTATGTTGGAATTTTAGTAACTTATTTCACATGAATGCGTAATTTTAAGTGGTTTTAATGAACTTATTTTTCATTGGATAGAAAGTGAAAAATATAAGTGAATTCTGCTTTTAAAGTTAGTTAACCCTTTTTTTTTCTTAAATGGTATACTGCATGGTATTTAATATTCCAAGAAGCGTGGAATTTTATTTAACTTGATTTGGAGCTCTTGAAATAATGACCCCATGAAAATATATATTTTAATGACTCTTTGTAAAGAGAAGCATTTCTTACAACTGAAAATGTGATATTTGAACACATTAAAATGAAACTCACCTCGTAAGTTAATTCTAATTTTTGCTCTTGAATTTTATTTTATTTCAGCAGCTTGGTTTATATGCATGCATTTGTACTTTGATCTATGGAATGAATGTTAGAAAACACAAAATTGAACAGAGTGAAACAAATGGTATTTGAAGAAATGTAATGTCTTTTACATTCTATTTATAATATCAACTGAAATCATAATCAACTGAAATTATTATTTTACCACAGAAGTGTTTCACATAAACAGATTTTTAGTTTGCAGTTTTAGAAAAATACTTTAGATAGAAAAGATTCTTATGCAATGAATTTAGAGTTCTGCCAACAATTAATTTATTTTTTATATTCTTAACATATTTTGTTGGCCATCACCACAGATATTAAAGACTAAAAATTTCAGGTTAGTTTGTTTTGAAATTGAAATTGGAAAGAAATCTGGAAATGGTTTCTTGCACTACAATAATAAAATCAATTGTACTGAAAATCTCTTTGGTTTTATCTTCCAGTTGGGAAAAGTCAAGAAGGCAAGATTAAAAATGAGATCTATATAATAAATTCATAATGTTTCTTATAGACGTTGCCAAAAACAGTTACTAAATAATGTCACTTATAAATGAGGGCATAACCTATACTCATGTTAAGTGCTTAAAAGTTTTTTGTAAAAAATTTATATAAAGCTGCACATTTTGAATTTACTATATTTCCTCCTCTACATATATGTTCCTGTTTTAAACATTAAGTTACTAAAATGCTTAGCATATCAGAATTATTTGTAGACACTTGATATAATTTAAAATACAGTTGTATATTTGGGTTGACTTCATAGCCTCAGTATGAGCTATTGTTATATATTACATTTTCCAAAGCACTGGGTTTTTTTCTATTTTTACCATGTGGTTTATTTTTATTAAGAACGTGATGTTATGGTCACCCCTCCTCATCCCTCCCTGGCAAGAAAGAGAGCAAGGAAGCAAACTGGAGCAAGCATGTGGTGCTGTGGAAGAGCGAGTCAGTTCAAGATGGAATTTTCAAAAATGCTTAGCAGAGGGGAGGGCTTTGGTGTATTTTCACCAGTTCTTTTTTTTTTATAAGCTTTCTTGAGATATGATTCACATACAGTTCATCCATTTGAGGTGTATGGTATTCTAGTGTGCAGGTGCACAGGGTTGTGCAACCATCACTACAATCTAATTTCAGAACATTTAATAAGCTTTCTTGAGATATGATTCACATACAGTTCATCCATTTGAGGTGTACAGTATTCTAGTGTGCAGGTGCACAGGGTTGTGCAACCATCACTACAATCTAATTTCAGAACATTTTTGTCACCCCTAGAAGAAACCCTGTACCCATTCCCCATTCCCTGCTCCTTAGCACGTGGTGACCACTAATCTTCCTGTCTTTGTGGATTTACCTGTTCTGAACATTTCATATAAGTGGAATCATAAAAGATGGGGTCTTTTGTGACTGGCTTTTTTTTTTTTTTGAAGGTTTATCAGTTTTTTATGGCTGAATAATATTCCATTGTATAGATGCTCCACATTTTATTCATTCATCAATTGATCGACATTTGGGTTGTTTCCAGTTTTTGCTTTTA